CTGAAGATAAGAAGTGTTGCAACCGCGGTTAAGTTGTGACATTATCAACAGAAACCACCAGTATGAAACAATATATATAACTGAATGCAAAATTAGACAATATGCGAGACCATAATACTTTTCATTTCAAAAGAGATAATAATTTCGATCCAAGTAATGTTGGATCTAAGTCCTTCCATTGAAAACTCAAGAAAACTGTCCTCTATGCTCCAAACGCGCCATTTAGTTTCTTTAATGGATGTTGCATTTTTATTTCATCAGCAACTTGATGCATTATCAAGGAAATTTGTTGCCCTTGTTTTATCTTGTCGTTAGAAATGACACTTGGAGCCACACTTATATCACCTAGAAAATGCATGTCAAAATCAACAGTTAACGTTTGTCATTCCTACCTATAGTTCGGTGTTTGCAACAACCTGGGAATTTCTAAAACCTGAGTGCATGGTTTACTGCTCTTGGTTATTTAGCAACAAATTTTCGGTGTTACTAACATAACCTCCCGGACTGTCTAGATCACCTTGACCTGCTCCCGGATCTTTATTTGGCTGTTGTTGTGACTTACTTCATTCTATGTTATTCATTATCATTATGTGACAGTCTCCGTGAAATATTTGACACTTGAAATGAGCTTTTCGCCTGTAATTAACAAACACTTAGTCAGAGACGCCAATATATTTTGATACAAAAGTACAGAATCTCCTGGCTAAATACGAGGACTATACATTACATACTCCATCTGCAAAATTTCATCGTTTGTTCCTCAAATTCTGCATGATTCTTCTATATCACGATTCTATCTTATTTCCGTTTCTGTATTCTTCAAGTCGACCTTCATAGCCTTCTGCTGTAATGAACTCCTCTTCTGGTTGGTGCTACTTACTACTTATATCTCTCGACGCAAATAGCGTACACCATTTTATGACTCGACCTCTTGATGATTCTTTGCTTTGCTCACGCTTTGCAGGAGATTCCGTTTAGCGATCTCTCTTCATAATTCTATACCTAACGAGTAAAAAGTGAGTGAACTTGTAACCTCGTCTCGTCCGTACACAGTATTGAACGTAACGTGGAACGGCTTGTATCTGCTAGTTTTAGGACTTATACATCCAGTGCTATCAACCACCAAGATTTAATGCTAACTGATGAATAAAGATGGTTATATGGCAGCTCACGTGCAATTGCGTTTGTTCACAATTAATTCGGTTAAGCCCTTGTATTAACTTACTTAACGAATAGAGTCATTCGTACAATGACAAATTATCTTCAACATTGCACCTTTATTGTTTAACCTGTGTGAATATACATGTTTGAGCATTACTTACTGCCTAAACATATATTCATTCTGCTACCCTTAGAGTTATTTGCTTAACTGATTCGATGAATCATTCATTTCCCTAGGTACATATATGTACATATTAATTCTGTTCATCGACTCGTTCATTCGACTCGCTCTCCCACCCGCCCTCTTGCTTGCTTTTCAGCACTACTCTTTCGTGCCTGCTTAGCGTACCTGTTATTTTTGGTCATCTGTGCGTAGCGCAATAATATACATAATGAAAATTTCGTATTCGCCTTTATTAATACACCTTTGGAACGTCATCCAATGACGGTTATCCGGACGAACTATATACGAAGTTTGAGGATTATATTGAATACCGACCACCACAATGAACTACCACCGAACATCTTTAATTAAATTACCTACGTCCTTACCATTTGAAAGAGGGAGCATAATTTCACAACACTGACGTTGATGCTGACCTCAAGATTGTTAGGATGTGGAGAAAAATATATTAATAATTATCATGTTAACTCTAATGGTGGCCTTGGACTTTAAATGTACACTCCCTATTGGTCAGTATTTGTTTCATTCGTTAAATATCGTACAAATGTTGTTTTTCTATTTTATGGTACGATGTGGTTTGTTTGTTTGGTATATAAACAGTATGTCTGAAATATAATGACTCATAACTCAGAGGCTGAGACTTGTGTTCTGGACTCAACTGGCTAGGATAGACAGCAGAGCAGGGCCAGTCGGGACTCTAGGTCGTCCTTACGTGTAATCGATCGATAATATACGCCTCGCTCATAATAATCTGCAGTCTCACCAGTTACAACAAAGAGCTAAACTGCGAACACCTCAAACTGTAAACGCTTGGTCCAACATCTACACCAACTTTCCCGATTCTTACAACACTTTATCAGCTTTCATACACTTCAACATGCCGATCATTGTCAAAGAATGTCCTCGCACCCGATCACCATCGATTTCTGATTTACTTGGTTCTGAGATCGTTAAACTGGAAGAGATTTCAATTGGCAACGCCTCATTTTGCTGCGCATCAGTGAAACCTTGGAGATCTTTGGTTCAGGAAAGATCAGTTCTAAAATAGTTTTAACGGCTAACCAGTCAATAAAAAATTGAATTCTGAGGTTTCTGTTGAGAATGGAAAATGTGCATGGTGTACCATATGGCTGTGTTTCTAGTGTCCAAAGTAGTACGCATTGCTTTTACGTCTTATAACTTTCGGGAACACTTCACGAACTCGTTAAAGGTTTTATTGGTATGCTGATCGCCTTGTCAAATGTATCTATGAGGTTACTAGCGGTTGCTTTAAGGTAATTGTGGTTTGGTATGAGTCAGTTGCTAAATAATACTAAATGAAGTTTTCTTTCTGGCATCCGGCCTGATGAACATGCTAAAAGTGTAAAGTTTCTAGTACTAGTCGATCTTGTGTATTTCGTAATACCCATCACCTTGTTTTACATTTGGCTTATACTTCCAACGTCAACGGTATGTCCGAGAGGTTTCCCTCAGATTATTTTAGCATAGCATTTCTGTACATTTGCTTCCATGTTGTGTCCTAAAAGTTTTTTTAATAGAATAGTTAAGATTTTGGAAAAGCTGCTTTCATGTAATTTTACGAAAAAATTTGTACAAAAGCGAGATCCCAGCTCACAATGTTCCATGAAACTACAAAATGTGGGAAATTTACAATGGTGGACAACGTAGGAATACTGTTCGGTTTTTTATAATCTTACTTTGCGCTTTTTCAAACACGTTTTAGAAAGTTCAGTCACTCTTATTAGAAATTCCTGGAGTTCTGGTTGTCAAATATTATACTCTACGATGTTCACACTGTTTACGCAACAAACTGTTCTCTCAGAATATCACATAAATTTACTTAAAACGTATCATTATTTATTGTCATTTTAGTTTCAAGATATGTAAATAGTTTAATTCCTGTCCTCTGCTCTGTCGCATTATACCTTTTTGTTGCCGTGACTCAATAGGATCAGATAAACCTCAACACTGTGGTTCGATATATGTTCGTCAGAATTGATTCATTCTCTGGATACAATCTCAACGACCTCTAACAACCGGATGGCATCACTGTGACAAAAACTGCTGAGCTTTCAGATCGTTAAGAATAAACGTTACCAAAAATAGGGAACTGCTTCAGGTATTAAGGTACGAAATTGTCACATTAGTATAGGATATGTAACCAGCCTAATAAAACTCATTGGAAAACACATGCCAGACCTCCAAAGAAATTTTGAATGATTCATGTGGTTCTGGTTCGAATAGAAGCTTTCTCTAAACGGGCCTCAGTATCTAGTAGCAGTGGATCACCAATACATCCAGGTGGGGGCCCAGGAATATTGACGATAAAAGAGAAAGGAAAAAGTTGGTAAATCATAGTAATTTACTGTCCTTAGTCCTCAAGAATACATCAAGTATTTTCTTAAAGTACTCTTGGGAAGTCGTTTGGACTAGCTCAGTCGGCAGCGAATTCCGGCATTTGAATACTGTTTAGGAGTAGAAGTTGTGTCTACAGTCCATGCTGTTGTGTTGTCTCCAATTTCTGGGTGCTACTCCTTAGGTTTGAGTTGAGACCGAGCGTGAGTCGGTTTTAAAGGGTGTCCAGAAGTGAGTCCTTAGCAGGTCACGTCTAAGTCACCTATGCCCTAATAGGTAAGGTCCAGTGATTGGAGGCGCTGTTCAAAAGGCTTGAATCTGAGTCCCCGAACTGTATATTGGCTCGCCGTTGGATACGATTGGAAGTGTGCTTATCCTTTTGGAGTGAGGGAGGAAATACTTTGTTTCCGTACTCTAAATCATGAAGAATAAAACCGTTAAAGATTGTGTGGAAAGTTCTCCTGTCGAACTGTCCGAAAATGTGTTTCAAAGTTATCAGTTCAAGTTAAGCTCAAAAGACACTCTCATCGAAGTTACCGTAAGACTTTAAATCATAGGGTTTCAACACTCTTAGATCTTTTTCAACTTAAAACACCTCTAGAGGGGAGTTACTTTAGTTGTGTCTGTAGTCTGCAGCATGTCACAGATGGACTCATTTAAACCTTGGGGTGTTAAAGTTAAGCTTGTTGTCATCTTCTCAACTTTGAAGTCGATTCAGATCTTCCTGAAATGCCAGTTTATCCTCTTGGATGTGTACGTCTCTCTAGAGCTGCACGTCACCAGCGAAAGTAATAAATCTGACGTCACCTGCTGTTGAAGATCGTTCATATAAATGAAGAAAGGAAGAGGTCCTAGTACTGAACCTTGTGAGACGCCACTGTAACACTCCATCGACCGAAATTGAAGTTAACGCTGACCTTAAAATGTCGATTTTGTAGATATAAGTGAGCCAATCAAATTAAGGTGATTTGATACCTAATAGTTTGAGATTATTGATAAGATAGATGTAAAGGACCTTATTAAAAGCTTTTGAGAAGTCAAGGCAAATGACGTCAACCTTTCTCTTGCGATCAAGGATGGTTGTCTTTCTGTCCACCGCCGTCAGCAGGTTGGCTATACATGAGTGACTTTTTCTGAAACCATGCTATTGAGTTGAAAAGAAGTTTAAGGATAATAAACAGACATGTATGCGGTTGAACATTAGAGGCTTTATAATTTTTTAGGACATAGAGGGAAAATTATATCGTTCGGTATCCATATTCTTTGGTTATTGAAATAAATTGCAAGGGTTGAAGTTTTTGACTGTAACGGTACTTCTGTTTTTAAGGTGTTTACATCGATTTGCTTCTCGGTGTTCTTTCCTGCATAGACTGTTTTTTCCAACTTGTTATAAGCTTCTCGCTTCATTTATAAAATATCACAGTGATTAGTTCATCTTGATTTAACGTCCTATTTTAATAGGGCGTGAGATCTCAACAATAGAAGGTAAAAGTAAAAACTTTCGTCTAAATTTGAACGAATAGTTTCACAATGTTTGGGCGCCGAGGTAATTTGAGTGATTAAAGAGGAAGAATGTATTTGTACAATCTCAGCGAAAGAATTTGGACTAAATCCAACGTTTCGCCTGGCAATACTGGTCCAAGCTTTTTCAAGTAAAATATAATCAAACAACAAAATTATCGATTAGTTTATTGATCTACAAATACATTCTACCTCTTTAATAAAGAGTAAAATTTTGAAAAACCGTCGCCTTCGGTTTCTTACACAATTTCTTGACGCTATGAGGTTACTCGGTCGTACTACGTTTATCAAATCCCAAATTTGCTCGATTGTTTTTTCGATAATGATATTAGAAGACGAAGATTATCAGAACTATCTCCTCTTACCCCGTTTCCTGTCTAGTTGACCTTTTATTTTTATATATAAATGCTCTTAACAAGTATATGTGTGACCAGATTGTTCGAAATGTATTGCGCTAATATATCACATAGTTCTGATAATCTTCGATTGTTTTTTATTAAGGTAGGCTATTCGAGGGTCGTTTACCCAAAGATTGAAAGGATGCCGTACTAAGTCCCGTCTTAAAATAGGTACGGAACATAAATCTGAGAATTTTCTACCCGTTAGCCTGACTAGTGTGGCCGTAAAATTTTAGAAAAGATTATTAGAGAGGAGCTGTTTAAATATCTCGATGAGAATATGATCTTTTTGGGAAAGTATCATGGCTTTAGAATAGGTTATTCCTGTCTTACTAACTTATTAGTGGCTCGCGAAAGCTAGTGCTCTCTTGAAGACCAAAAGTTACCTATAGACGTAGCCAATATTGACTTCAGCATAGCTTTTGACAGAGTTCCGCACAACTAGCTGTTTTGATGCATATCGGTCATCAAGGTACAGATGCATACATGACAACACTGAGCTATCTGTTGTCCAGACACTCAATGACTTAGAAGTCATCGTTAACCAAAACCTAAAGACTACTGCACATTGTCGTGTAATAAGCCGCCAAAGGTTCTAAAACTTTATCGTCAATACGTAGGGCCTTTATTCATGTCGACGCTAAAACGTTTTTGACTTTGCGTACAGTGTTCTTGCGTCCTAAACTTGAGTACTGCATGCATGGAGCTAGTCCCTATCTCACTATCTTAAGTCTGGGCGTTTCGTCCATAAATTAGTCTCTCCACTGAAGTGACAAAATTTCGACATCTATAACGAATCTTCTCACGTAAATCATTTTATTTAATGGAGTTCGGGTTGGAGCTTCCATCACGAATGGATATTAGTTCTTGTGCAAGGGTTTAGGGTAAATATTTGGTCTACCAAGCATTTCTGGTTTACGGCCTCATGGGAAAATATCTTAGCATCGATTGGCTAAAAAATAGCTAATCAATGTGTCTCAACAGAATCCAATGCGTATCCCGCAAACACCTTCCATTTGAGCAGATTCATAAAATCTGGTGTTCGGGTCCGTTTGCAACCGTGTGACTGGTCTGTGCTTCCTATTTGTTCACCTTCTAGGCAACAAAGTGGTGATATTGCTCTTTGCTTCCACAGAAACTGACCTGTCTGTTCCAAAGGTTCCGATTTCAAAGGTGTCCAGCGGAACATCAGGAGGTACTCTATATTGGTTCCCATTGCTTGTGATCGAAGTTGCTTTTGGTTGGTTAGCATGACGCACCTAGAACGTTTGAGGCAACTGACACCTCGTAAACCACACTTTCTTTTTTCTGCATTATTCGACCAGCTATCCATGTAAGATGTTTGCTGCGATAGTCCATAGCAAGTACTTTTTGATCCATATTGAACAATCGTCTTTGTGTTCAATGATGTCGATTGAATTGCTTCTCCATCTATCCGTAACGGTGAAACTCGACAACTGGCGTCAGACCAATGGCATCGAAATGTGTTCGTAGCTTCCTGTTAAGTAAATCCTCTGCCGGACAGAATCGGTGGAAAATGATAGGTGAACAAGGACCTCTATATAATCTCTTTGATGGTCCCCTCCACTTTTAATTTTTGCAGAGCATTTTTAGATGTCTCAATAAAACGTTCTACTTGACCATTGGATTGTAGATAGAATGGGATTCTGACTGTTGTTCTTACTTTGTCAAACTTTATGAAAGAGAAAATTCGTATGAAATTATTTAATTTTATTTGAAAAACACTTCCACAAAACACGTATGTATATATTGCAAAGAGTAAAATATGTACTCGAATGTTGTGATAATAAATTTTAATCTCTAACATTGTTATGCTATTTTAAGCTTCTAGAAATCTACACGTAGTACAGCTGTACGCTTAGTTCCACTCAGTGATTGCAATTACTTTCGAAAATAGATTATGTAAGATATCCGGCGTTTTTTGGCACACTTCTTGATGTTGATAAAATCATCAAGTCGACAGTACTAAAGTTGGGGATAGAGTTTACTGAAGGACTAAGTCAGTTGGTCAAGTTACAAGTTTCTGTTGATTGAGATAATTGAAAGGGGCCTCACATATATCGTAAAATATAAATATACGATGTTTATTGCAGTAAAAGCGGGAAGTGTCTGAAAAAGGTCAACTTCGGACAACATTTATCCATTTTGGAACGACATGCATTCAATTTAGGTTTTAAATGGATAAACCTGGCTTTCTACAAGGCTGATTGCTGTTGTAAATAAATATAAGCTTGTGGACTACTGTTCAAGACTGGCGCCAATTAGTTTGTATTCTAGTATAATACTGTACTGTATGTAGTATAAATGTAACATGATTTGGTGGTGTAAACTTTGTACGCAGATCAACGAGTTATGGCTTCATTTCCCGTAGCCATACACATATTTGTTATTTAGGGAGTTTGTACAACAATTTTACTCTACAACGGATACCTTAGATCATGATTTTTTCGAACATATCTCTGAACACATAATGTCTCCAACATTTTGTACATACACTTTTAAAGCCAGAATGCCCTATTCCATGAGTTCTCTAAAATTGTACAATTCAAATCACAAATAACCTGGATTACATCCTACATAAGTAAGATATTGCTTTTAACAACGATAGTTCAATAAACTCAATTTCTAGAACAAACGTTGGTTTCGACAAAATATTGCTTTCTGTAGTGCTGCTCCTAAAGGCTTTACAGTTTTGTGTCACATCTCACCTATAGGCAGCGATGAGTATGTGATGTGTGCTACTTATATTGACATAAGTAGTATATAATGTTAGTCGTGAACAGAAGGTCTGGCAGCAGAGAGACAAGAGGATCGAACAGTAAAGAATGGAAACAGAATGCAATGTATATGAAAATGCAAGAACAATGAAGTCTGAGTCATTTTGAGACAATTGATGAACATTTTGCAAATTAAGCATTTACTTTATGATTGCTAGATTTTATTAACATGTCCTGTAATTTTGCGTCAAATACATTCGATTGTCCCCACCCGTGTTCTCTTCGCTACAAGCACTCAGAATTTTCTTATTTTTTTTCAGCATCCAATTACGGATATATATAACTCACTATCATCGTTTGAAACAGCATATAAACTCACAAATTCATAATAAATCGATCTTATCTAAAAACTGGGTGACTTTTTTCTTGTAAAGTCAGGACCACTGGATATTTGTGCACGTATGTGTTTAACTGTCAACTTATAGTATGTCAATTAGTGATATGTTGTACAATATCAATTCATTTAGCTTTTGATTGGGATTACAACTTCCTGGAAAACTGTTAAATCTAATAAGCTTCTAAACTAACTGTATTAAGAAGTAAGAGAAATATAATGAAATTAACCAGATAAACAATATAGATGATAAGTTTCTTTAATATATTTTATCACCTGCTCTCTTATATTCACATGCATGTTTTTCTGATTCTCTAAATATGTTGTTAATTATATTTTAGATCGTCTTTATTGGCTCATTTCTCATAAGTGAACTAAACCATTATCTATTTCATTTTGTGTTTTCCTTACCAGGCTAATAGAAAACATGGATAGTGAGACAGACATTTAAATATATTTCTAACCTTCAATATTGTTATCTCAGGCTCATGTTAAGCAAAGATTTAGATATATACAATCAAGATTAATCATTTGAGAACATTTGAATTTATTAATTTTTATTTGGATTATTAATATTGACATCAATATAAATATATATATATATATATGATCTTTATATTACTGCTATGACGGATAAAGCACCAATTAAAACAAATAAACGTCTACAACAAACTCAAGCTCAAGTTAATGAAGTTGTTGATATTATGAGAGTTAATGTTGACAAAGTATTAGAAAGAGATAAAAATCTTTCTGAACTTGATGGTCGAGCTGGTAAGTATAAAATGTTTGATTTGTTACTATTATTGAATTCATAATTGTTTGGTTATATTAGTATTATTTTCTGTCTTACTAATTATTCAGTTAGATCTTAATAATCTATTCATATTACTATAGCATATTCTAATTTTCTTTTAGTCGTCAATTTTACTGTAGGAATACCATGTATAATTAATTGTTCATGAGCTTTTTTCTCTTTATTCGTTAGAATGTGTTCAGTAGTTTAAACATTTTTATGAATCTTTTCAAATCAATCATTTGTTAGGTTTCCTCTATGAACACATTTTGATACTATGAATTCATGTTTTGTGAATATTTGTTGACTGACTTATTTGTTGTGTATGCATAAAAATACGTTATTTTTTGATCACCTAAATGTTTAGTAGATTGTAGGTGTTAAGCACTCATGTCATTGAATTTGAGCAATTGGATATCACTATCAGTTCTCACACTCAATTTCACGAATCTGTATCTGTTTACTGGTTTTTATTAAAATTAAAGTGATAACCTGATATATATCTCTCTTAGCATAATAGATCCCAATTAAACAGAACATATCTAGCACATGTACATGGATTTTGTTTCTTACTAAGAAAAAAAACAGGTGAGTTGCTCACTCCGTGTTAGAAGTTCCTTTGAATTATTTAGTGACAAATTCTGCAAAATGAGAAATTCATGGACATTCTTAATCAACTAAATCACTATGGTGTCCTGGGTCATTTTTAATCGACTAAAGCTTATTAGTTAAAGTTTACTTGAAAGTTCAGTATGTATTTAGTGATCTATGGGCGTTACATTGTTCCAAAATATAGTATTTAAGCTCATAGTTTGTAAGGGTTAAGAGTTTTTGAGTGCTTTCATTAATGTATTCTAATGTATTCACTTACTATATTAGTGTACGCCTTAATTTTAGGGTGTACAAAAACCTAAACATGTTATTTCAAAGAACAAATTTCTTTCCGGTGATAAAAAATCGATGTTTTTTGCAATCTAACTCAGGAAATTTTAATACGCAAGATTCATTGCTGATAGTTTGATAATCCAGGAGTTTGTTCTGTGCCATTTATACATTCTAATCTGAATAAATTACTTATAAATTACTTTGTTCCGACTTCTTTGGTCTAATATTATTGTTTGTTATGTGATTGAAGGCCGTTTAAACTTATTGATAGTTTATTTCTAGTTTCCATCCTTTTCCCGTTTCTAGTACTGACTGTTTGCCACATATTTCTCTTTATCCCAAATGTAAGCTTGTGATTTAAACTGATATTTACCAAATATTAAAAAACAGGAAGTTTTCGTTTAAATTTATGTGTGCCTATTAAGGTGAAATCAACATTTTCATAGTGCCTATATGCTATATTCATGATCGGTATCTGGCGACCCAGGTTTCGTGCATAGTATTTCTGAGAAATACAACACATCGACGTTTTGTTATTTTTGTTCTTGGGATAAGTTTATTTATGTTTGATTTTAAGCTTGGAGATGTATTTTTCTTGAAGGTTGCAGTTAGTTTTAAGAATGTTCCTGACAAAAACATGTGATGAATTACTCTTCATCTTGTTCTTATTATTGGCTAAATGTATGTTCGTAACGACGTAAAAAGTTGTTGAACTAAGTGTATTCCTATTAATGTAATAATTTAAGTATCCATCTAATTACTTATTATTTAGTGAAGGTTTAGTTGTCATGTTTTGTTTTTTGACCTTTGAGAATTCTACTGTACAGTAAGACGTAGTAAAATTTCAAAATATTATACATTTCCTATATCTTACTTATTTAGGAAACTATTTCTTGAATTGATATTTTATTTCTCTAGTCCTCGTGCTTGACAAGCGCTGCAGCTGAAACGTATATGACAGCTATGAAGATTATAGATGGAACCGATTCATTTATGAATTGATAGGATATAGGTGTTTCTTCTCTCCAAGTATTCAGATCAAGCCCAGTCTCTCATGAGTAAAGTTTATGGAATATATTATGTAGGTTTATTGAAATAAGGTTCACTTCGGTGTTTTATCAATTATGTACCATATTAATGAATCATTTTTTAGGTAATGATTAGTGAATATGGTCTCGACATTATTCTATGAACTAGGCATCATGCAATTATAAATGTTATTAGAACAATACACAGTTTATTCTAAAGCTCAGGCTAACCAACTGTTATAAATAAGTATCAGGTTTAGGATAGTTTTTTTTCTACCTTTTTTCTATCTCCTGTTTTTCTATCCTTTGTAACTAGAATATATATTCGTCTCCTATTTCCGGTGCTTTAGTGGTTTTGGGATGTGATCATTTAGTTTGATGTCATTCTAGTGAAAAGCTTTTATATGATATTTATTCAAGCTCCTTATACTTAATTACTGTTTATCAACTCTTCTTCATTTTCATATTTTACTATTAGGTAGTTGACTCATTCAGTATCCGGCAGTTTTTCTTATTGATTTAATTAAGCTAAGTAATTATATATAATATTGTATTTCAAGGATACTGATATTATAATACGTTTGTTTCGTATGATGATTATGGTTAGTGTTCTGAAATATTCATTTTTAAACAATGACAGTGATTCTGATGGTCATAGTTTCCTATCATAAACTTGACGTAATGACAAGAATTTCTGTTGGTCGTTTAGTCACTGGTTTGTGTTTTCAAAAAAAGAGAGATATCCATCTGTAGACAGAGATAAACGTTTGTGTTAAACGGTTGACTCGTAATACTTTCTAATCTACTAAGTGACAAGCGTCATACTTATGCGTATTCGATGTGTAGGATCACAATAGCGAAGTTAATTATAATGGTTAACATTAAAGCTAATCAATTATAAACTTATCAAATTTTTACTTCTGGACGATGAAAATAATTCCCCAAGACTTATATCTTAAAGTTTAGTAACTAATAACTTGATATTTCTTTGTCTTCTTGAGTCGTTTGTTTCTTAAAAATCACTAATTCATATTTCTGTGCTATTATAATAAATTATTTGATACTTATTGTAAAATGGGTATGTTTTTTTTTGATGCGGTAATATTTTCCCAGTGTTGGTTAATCACTGTGAAACGATTTATTCAATCGTTTCATATATATTGGATTAGTGATTTTTCGTGTAGATTTTCACTTTTTAGTTCAACAAATGTAAAGCGTCTCATTATTATAATTATTATAGTTTTGCATTAAGTAATTGTCTGATAAAAATAACACTATTGATTTGTAACGTTTTAATTATCTATTTAGTGGACTCATTTTCTCCTAAATGATTTCATGTCATAAGTTGTTTTGTTAGATAAATCTGTAAAGGTACAATAGTGGTTTGCTAACTGTTAATCTATGGTCTTTTAATTCTCATTTCAAAATATATTTCATAATTATAGTAGAGAGATAGATAGTTCACTACTATCCTAAATATTATGCACTTTATGGCTCAGTATATATCTTGTTAACATTGAAATTGATGTAAGTTTGTCGATATTAGTTTAGTAATTTGTCATTTCACTGAGTTCACGCCATATTGAACAGTTTGATCTTTCAAATTAATAAAGAAATTGTCGTGTTCAGATAATTTACACTAATTGGCGATGAACATTTAATTTTAAGCATAATTTTAAACTTTCAAACTTCAAAGCAAAACATTTATTCATTTTCCTCATGCTTTAGTTAATTAATTTGGGATTTTTTGAAACGAATCATTCCTTTGTAATACTATATATACCATATTTAACTAATATTGTAATACATAAGATAAAATAAATATTATGTCTTTGTATAATAACATTCTAAAACAGATAACATCCACTTATAGAGATCTTCACATCCTTTTATTTTATGATACAAATTTGGAAATGCCTAGTGAATGCAAATCAAGTGAATAGTGAATTAAAGTATAGTTTTTTATACAATCAACTTAGACGCCAACTACAACCACTAACTAGCCAAATTATTCTTACTGGTAGGAACTTGCTACTTGAATTGTCACATAAGCTACTATGTTTATTAGTAATGATAAGTTTGTTTTCAAAATGAATGAGAATACTGTCTGGCATGCAGGTAAATCATTCAGATTTATTAGCGAAACGTGTTGCTTGATGTTGGCTTAACCCATTTTAGTGACATTATATTGTTACGCCTATTTATATGGAGTGGATTACCGTTATAACCGAACGAAGGATAAATGAATGGTTACTGCTAGGAAATATTTATGGACTGTTATTATTTATATTCTTATTGGGTAACTATTAAGTAATTATATTATATATTTATTCATATTCCTCTTATCATAAGCTTTCATTTGACTTATTGGCTACTGTTATACGATTGACTATTCTTAAGTTATTCCCAATCTATTAGTTACAGTCTCCTATATTCACAACCACTTCTGGCTCGATCTCGTATAATTATTATTTTCCATTTTATAGTTTGGTGTGGTTTGGTTCGCTTGTATATCAACCATGTGTGTCTAAAATATACGGTTCATATAGCGGAGGTTGATATTTGTGTTCTGGACTGAACGGGCTGGGTTAGGCGAGAAGCTACTATCTCGGAGGACCAATAAGGACCCAGAGTTGACACTAGGCTGCTCGTGCTGGTTAACTCATCGTTGATTTAGCGCAGAGACAAGGTCATATAAGTCAGTGTTCTGATTGGAAATTTTGTCACATGATATTGAATGGGCCATAGGACGTAAACATAACGATTAATTCATGTTTAGTATGTTATTTTACAGGGGTACAGTGGTATCAAGTAATTGAAAGCAATGTTCAGAGAACCGTAATTCCACGTTTTGTACTCACTGACACTTCAGCAGACCAGATCTATAAGCCTAAACAGCTCATATGATAATCAATCTCTGGAGAATCGGCTAAAATTTTGAGTTGTTTGTTCCTTTAACCGGATTATGTCTTTTATTGATAGAAATATTGATATAGCATTGATGACTACAAAATATAACATAACATTTATTACTATTCAGTAGTGACCAATTAATGTTCAGTTCTGATTGTAATCATATAGCACCTTAGGAACTAAAAATTATGCAGTCATATGGACAATATTTCAGGGATTGTTTTAGTTCTACAAATTTAATTTACTGACTGATTTTTATCGTTTAGCAGTTGTTGTTATTATACTCTCATTTCTTTTTTGTCACAAATTTATTTTCTTAAGACGCATTACAAGCTGGTGCTTCTCAATTCGAAGCTAGTGCTGGTAAACTGAAAAGAAAATTTTGGTGGAAAAATTGCAAAGTAAGTGAAATAGTGTGTTTGTAGTGTTTTAGTGAGGAAAAAGAAACTAACTTTACGTTTTTAAATATATTTTATTTAAAAAAAAATAGTCATGGTAAAATTTATTGCGTAGAATAAAATTAAATTGACTCTCAGTTAGTAAGTAGTTAGTAGTGTAGATTGGTACATAAGGTTTTTGCAACTAAGATCCCTATGTTATACTTTATTCATACTCACTAATTCACTACATTTCTCTCCTTTCCTTTTGTAAACAATATATTAATTGATATTTGTATAAATTATTATTTGTTAACGGAACATAACATGATTGAAGTAAGGAATGGAATATCGAATCCGATGTGTATGGGAGGATTAATTTAATTATAGTCAATTATGTAAATGAAATGTCGAAATTCACTAAGTCTTCCGGAATACTTTACTGTTATTATTTACTAGGTACGAATTTATACGCTTGGTTTTAAGCCATAATTTACGCAGGAGAACTAGTCACTGCCAGGTTGCCTGATCCAAGTAGATCGGGGTCAGAACGTGCAACTTAGTGGCCGCAGGTCAAACACCTTAACCACTGAGCTACTGCTTCACTTTGAAATACTAGTGAAAAATTAATACTAAATGAGATAGTGATAAAATAGCGGTGTTATTCAAGTATCATCTTGACAAATCAAAAACAAATATTGTAACACATATCACTTGTTGATTTAAGATTTCTTTCAATCAAGGGATATAGGAGTTGTAGAAAAGTGAACTTACTGTTAAATGCCAACAAAGCTTACAACATAGCAATGATTATTTTAATTGGTAAAATACCAGATAAAGATTTACTCATAATATTTTACAAAGAAAATAATGCATCCCAAAACAGACTTTTACGCACTTTAGAATTTATCAGATTTGTAAAATTCGAGTTTTTCGTATTACCAGAAGTTGTGCTTCTGTCTAAAACTATTTCAACATAATCTAAAGAAGGACTCATAGTTAGTGGAGTCCAACCATGCTAAGCGTGAAACAAATATCATTGGGTGATAGTTACACAATATCGCGAATGACTGAAGTTACAAATGTGAAGCACTAGATGACAACTCAATAATTTAATTTTAAGCGCTTGCCATGAGACCCGAATCCTGGGTTTGGTCACTGATGGGGTTGTAAATGGTCATTTTCAATCAACCCCATGCTAAAAAAAACGGCTCCCAGTGTTTTCTGGTTTTCAGTAGTTATCTAAGGTCAGTTTACTTCAAAATTCACCAATCATCACAACCCCTTCATACTAAGAAAGATAATCCAAAACAAACGCGAAGTTTAACTCATAAAACTACTCAAAGTGGTCAAAAGTAATAACTGAAGTAAAGTTAGCATCGAAAAATTGTGTGGAAATGCCGGATTGAAATATATCAATGTTTATGCGACTTATGTTTAGTGTTTGGCTATCGAACCTATAAGTTTAGCCATATACTGAAAGATGCACCAAAAATAGTTAGTTCCCTTTAATTTCAGCTATTCCTATGAATTCTTGTCTACTTTACTAAAAGAATACACTGGGGATGACAAAAAGACTGTAAAACAGTTTTATCAAAATATTTTATTCAAACTACCTTTTCTTTACAACAACTGGATTCGAAATTTGATTTAAAGTAAGTTCGTTGAGATTTTTGGTAGTTTTCATCAGTCATGAGAATGAAATGTAATATTACCAAATCAGTATGACTGTTAATAGTCAGTCTCCTACCACTACTTTTCTTTTCTCATAATAACTATGATTTATTAAAGTTTCACTAACATTTATTTTGTTTAAAATTCAGTTTTTAAGTTAATTTCCAAAAACATCTTTATTTTTAAATTAGTTTTAATACACACCTAATCTATCTTTGTATTCCCCTACTTTGGTTTAACAATCTCCTTTTTTTTAAAAAAAAAAACTGAAACATTGACCAGAGACTCCTATTTATTAATTACTTATCAGTGATTGATTGCTTAGTAAAAATTGTTTTCATTGTTTCCTATATTTTCAATCTGATTTAGATGCTAGCAGTATTGGGTGTACTAGTAGTTATTTTAATTATCGTATTAATTGGTGAGATTATGGTTACTACTACCATGGTTTGTATGTATGTTGTTAGTGTGCATGTATGCATCTACTTTAAATGTAATTTTCTTGTGTATATGTTGTAAATGTTGTTGCTGAACTGTTGTGTTGTGCATTAAAGCCTCTGAGAAATGTTTATCAATGATCCATAATATCAAGCGCTGTTGATAATTCTAGTTAAAACCGATTTTTTATTATCTTCTATTCTAGTTATTTCTTTTTGTTGTATACACAATAGTCATCTAGTCTTAACCATAAGTCAATAATTTGTAATTTACTATGAGCATAAGCTCAACTCACAAATAATGTTTATTTTTTATAGGTAAAAGTTGTTTTCAATTTTTTAACATTTTATGGTTTCGTGATTTTGTTTATTCTAATTAGTTTGAAATTGTGCTCTTCAATCCATATTTTATAATTTTCGTAGTAAATTAATGTAGAGTTTTATAATATCTAAACAGATAAGGAATTTTTATGGCCGTTAGTAGTGACTAGCTTTGAAGTGGACTCTCTAAAGTTCTTATGAGTAAGTAGTATTTGTAGAGTCAACCAATTGATGAGTGCGACAGTTGTTTATTGATTACACTACATTATGGGTATACTATATGATGAATGGACTAAATTTAGGAATAGTGATCGGTGTATTCTGACTTCACGGTTTGATACTTGTTAACGACTATGAATATGCATTCCTGAGAAATTCCTAATCTAGTAGTGAATGAATGTCTAGCGTTCTAGGGTTTTTGGCAACTCTCAATTTTATATTAATTGACGATAATTGCACAGATTCTTCAAAGGTATTCGTCACAAACACTATGGTTATATTAAACTCTTGAAATAATTAACTGATTTCTTTATCAGTTCCTATCAATTTTACTTTATTTTTACGAGTTTTTAGCTAAATATTTGTATTGATCTACTTTCATGTGAACAATAGGACATCAATCTAAGAATCAACTGATTATCAGTTACTAGGATTTGGTAATTTTTCGAAACAATGTTTTAAAGGATGAGACTAGCAAAAAATGTTATATAGATCGAATTAAAATCCTTTTCTTTAAGGTAAATGCGTTTAACATTACAACTGATAAATAATCTACTATGTTTTGTTCATAGAAGCTTTATTTTTCTAACTACCTGGATCATACGTCTTTATAACCCGTAATCAATATTCAGTTCTGTAAGTATTTCAATCTTGATGAGTAATGTATTTACCATCTTATATATTAAGTCAATCATTCCAGCCAAAATAATTGAATATGCAGTAACTGAAATATAATTTCAAAGCTTCTTCAGTTGTATTCAGGTTGTCGACGAGGATCAGCTTGATGAGTAATGATGAGAATTCAAATGTATCCTCTTTGTTATCTTTCTATGCACTAACACCCAAGTTAAGCGTCATTTCATATTTCAAGGATATTTTCGATGTTTTTACAACTCTTTCAAATATAGAAAACGTTTTATGATATGCACTCAATGCAGACAGAATGTCTAGTAAATATACTTGTAGTCTTTTGGCTTCTTTCTTTTAATCATGAATTCAACTTCAGTTGTATTGATTGACTTATTCATTCAAAAATGTGTTCACGATGTTGTTATGGTTCCTCTTATTCCGACTGAGCTACTCTTATTGCTTAATATTCTTGTACACTACTTCACTCGACAAGTCCCCAAACCATAATACGGTTGAACAGGGACCCAATCATATTCCAAATAACAAGGGTGGGTGGAAGTAAGAATCACAGTGAGAAAAATGTTAGTATATCTATAATTTCTCTGTAAGAAGATTCTAGAATCTTCTCCAAGTCCCCGCTAGCGCTGATCGATCACGAATGGCCAATCAGCGTGCTCTAACATAATCCTGCACGGAATACGCTTTAATCAAATCTATATCTCGCTAACAGATGTAGTTCATTGTAAACAAATAAGACAGCGTAGAAACTCAGTTCAATCCGACATAGGTAACAAAAATAAAAACACTAAAGTACAATGGATAGGATAAAATAGTGGAACATTCGGACGTGCAAGCAGTAATATGTCTTGAGTGATAAAAGTTTATTAGACTATTGACTTCTTTTATAAAAAAAACCGTTGCTTAGTTTAGACTGTGAAGCTCCAATCTGCATGGCTGCAAAAGTTGATACCTGAAAATTCCACTGAATTATTCCCATATACCAGTTTTCATAGAACAACAACAATAATTTTAACAGTTCGTTTTATAACGTTTCCCAACTTTTTGTCGTTAATCACTACATATTGAAGTGCTCCTGGTTGATGTAAGATAAATTATAGGAAATCTGAGAGAGATCAAAGATGTCATGTCACCTCTTAAAGTCCCTAGTTGTATTTCTAGAAGGAGGAATACTTGGTTGACTTCACACGATAACCTTCATAAGTAGTAACATGGCGCAAATCAATTAAAAGCGACGCAAATATATTCATCCTCTGTCTTTGTCACGTAACACATTAACAGCAAAAACGTCATAACATTTGGATACAGCTATTTTCAATATATTGTTTCCATAATTAGTCCTTAACATTTCATTTATTTCCATTTCTCTTTTAAAACCTTTGTACCTAGATATCTTGTTTGTTAGATAGAGGATTTATGATTGAGTTACATCAATCTCATTTTTCATACATCTGTGTGTGCACATTGTTTGCTTACACACTTTCATATATTTTTACTGCATGATAATTTTTGTACTAAGGAATACTTCAGTATCTTCTCTATATACTTGATTCTTTGTTGTAGCCGTTATACATCAACACATTTATAGTGGGAATTATGTGTGTGTGTGTGTGTGTCATACATAAAAAAATGCATTCACCCTATAGATTTGTTTCTGTTAATTTTTGGACGTCATTAAGATTTTTTTAAATGTTTAATTAAAAATGATTGTTTGTTCGCGGAATATGTACATATTGATGACTTTTTTTCTGATTATGAATGCATACATGTGGTCTTGATTCTACCTCTTCTTCTTCTTCTTGTTATTATTATTATTATTATCATTATTATTATTATTATTTGATCCGCCTCCTCAAATCAATTTAACTTTTGTGTTTATATTATTCACTAATTATTCTTTTGAAGTGGTATCTTTAAAAAAAACTGAATATTAATAAAGTTGATCGTGTATCTTCTTTATAGTTACTGTCATTGTTGTTGTCATCTTTGTTTATATTTACTTATGTATTTTGCTGATATGTATATTATTAACGGATTTCTTTCATCGTTTCCTGTCCGATTTCAGTATGGGTCGTTTCTGAACAAAAGTAAGTTGGTTGTGAATGTTACATATGATAATTTTACAATAAATGAAGATCGAATGATTTGATCTCAAAGATTTCGTCATTCAAAGTTATTGATACAGATTTCAAATAATATAGTTATTTGAAGTATATAAATCATACCTCAGTTAAATCATTTATTTGGTAAACTAAACAAATCTGTGTTTTATGAAAGTTAAGAATTACATATTTACCGAGTACATGTTGATATATTCAATTGTGAGCCACACTGTTTTTGTGTGGGCAAAAGTAATGCATACTGTTTGCATGCTTAAATTAATATAGGTTGGGAGTGGAGTTCGAACCTGTGACTTACTTGTTGGAAACTGAATGCTATAACTAAGCACTAAATCATTGCCACTTTTATTAACGGCGGCCTGCTTGAATATCTGGGTTACCTGTTTCTGCCATCTAATTATTTCAACAAGTTTTCTGTTTTTTCATTTTTTTAACGTCTTATTATGTCCATTAATCGCATAACCTATACAAGTGTGTTTATGAAAAGCCTACGACCTTTCGCTACACAAGTTACAAAAAAGTACTATAAAAGACATCGTGGTGGTTGGCAATATGCATTAAAGAGAATGAACATTAATCGTATGTCGATTCCCGAGCTGCTAAATTCTAACTGCCGATCACTAATCAGCAAAGTGGACTATCTGCAATTCCTACTAAGTCAAAATATATACCGTAATTGTGGTGTCATCACAATGCAAGAATCTTAGTTAGATGATTTACAGAACAACTGCCTAGTACCACTACGTGATTTCAAAATTTATCGTCAGGATCGATCAAACAATAAAAAGAGGTGTGGCAGTGGTCTAGCTACGTTTGTAAACGTGAACTGGTGTCGATCTTTGTATGTGTGTTTCAAGTTTTCAAATGACTTTGTCGACTGTCTAACTCTAAGATGCCGTCCAAAACATCTGAATAAATACAAATATGTTTATGTTACCAATATCTACGTGACTCCAGACTGTACATCATCTGCGCTATCTGTGTTCGCTGACGAATTCACTGAGTTCGCCGTTCCTGCCTTCAGTGGTTCACTTTCAGTTGCATGTGGTGATTTCAGTTCATGTGACTGTAGGTTTCTTTCGTCACTAGATCACTAAAATGTAGTAGATTTTCCTACTCCTTTGAATGCTCATTTAGACTTCGTTTTCATTAATGATGTGGGTATATATGTGACTCGTAAACGTGTTCAATTATCTAGCTCAGATCACTGTATGATTCGTGTTCTACCTAAAGTATATGGAAAGCATGGAAAGAGTACACTCTTACATCAAACCAAGAAAGTCAAATATAGGAATTGCTCAGAAGGAAATTTCCGAAATTTGAAAAACATGTTTCATACGACTAACTGGTAATGATTTACAGATGACTCACTAGAAAACACTACTGATGTTATCACTTGTTACTTTAAATTCTGTTTTGATATGTGTTGTCCCATTGAAACCATTTTTGCAAGTTTTGATTGATTTACATCTTCACAACTGAAACAATTACAGAGGGTGAAAGAAAGAATGTACAAGGAGAAAAACTCTAATGAAGTTCGTAAGCTAAATGGTCTAATAAACCTACAGATTAGACGTCTCAACTCTATTTTTACCCAAAAGCTCCTGTCTTGTAAAAACTCTCCAAGTATGTGGAAACTCTTTAAGGAATTTACAGGTGACAGACATATTAAGAGCGATAACCAGCTGAATGTTTGTGACTTAAATAAGTCTTTTGTACGTCAGTCATCTGATGTGTTGCTCCCTTTATCCACAGGTCTGAAGAATAGCTGTGTTCCTAGTTTCACTGGAACTGGTGTCCGAAGATGTCTCCAGTCACTTAATTCATCCCGATGTTTAGGACCTGATGGTATCCCAGACCTTTTTAAAAAATGTGCTGACGTCCTATGTTATCCATTCACGACTCTCTTTAACAGATCCTTCCCATCTAATCTCATACCGGGAATGTGGAGAAAGATGAAGATAATCCCTGTACCCAAGAAAGTATCTGGCGATAAGAATGTGAAATTTAGACCTATTGCAATTACTTCACTTTTCCTCAAAACAATGGAAAAATTATTAATACTTCCACTTCAGCCTGCGATAAAAGGGCATATTGATCCGTATCAGTTTGCTTACAGATGCAAAAGAAGCACCTTAGATGGTGTTGCTGTTCTGCATCACAATATAGTGTTCAACTTAGAAAAAAGTAAGAAGTAAGTTCGATTCGCTTTTCTGGACTATACTTCAGCTTTTGATTCTATACCAAGACAACGTTTACTTAACAGGTTAATCAGTGTCAACACTGACAGCTGGATAACGAACCGGGTATGTTCCTACCTCTCTGGAAGGGAACAGTACACTGTATTTGGAGGAAAGTGTTCAGAGTCTCTACTGTCTCATGAAGGTGTACCACAAGGAGCTGTTCTTTCACCTCTTCTTTTCTCTTTTTTCTGCATGATCTGCCATCTTCCACAGAAAACACTTTTGTGAAATATGCGGATGATCTCACTGTATGTATGCCTATCTCTTCCTCCTTACATCCCATAAAATGAATGAGTTTTTGTCTCGTATTGATTGTTGGTAATGGTCTCATACTTAATCCGTCTAAATGTCAAGCTGTTAACTTTAGCATGAGACATGAACGGAATCTAAACACCATTTTGAGATCACATAATGCTTGTGCCATCGGAGACTCTTTGATAAACACAGTGTCGAAGGTCAATTATCTTGGTGTTACCTTTTGCTCTGATCTTTCTTGGTCTTCTCACGTTTTATTGTTATCGAAGAAAGTTTTCCGTCTGACTTACTATATAAAGAGATTGCATGCTCTTGGGATTACTAGTCATTTACTCTTACAACTCGTCAATTCTTGCATCTTATTCTTTACTGTTCTCCATTATTCTTTCCCGGGCTTTTGAGAAAAGACTTTGCTGTATTGCGGGGAGTGCTGAAGGCAGTTAGCAAGGTGTGTGGTGAATCTTTCGAGGTCATAATTAATGTGGTTGTGGATAGATATCTAAAGTCATGCAAACTCCTGGCAGGTGTTATTTTATCAGATACTAGCCATCCCCTTCGCTCTTATGTTTCTCCTTGTATAGCTTCTGGTAGAACGAGACGTAATTACATTAGAATCTATGCACGCAAGCAAAAGTATAAAAGTTCTATAATACCTTACCTGGCAAATATACTCTGTGACGAACAGGTTGTTAGAGTTAACCTAGTCAATAACCTGCATTCTTAACATGTCTCTAATTTGAAAAGTTGTATAGTTTTCCGGTTGTCTTTTTTAAACCTTTTTTTCGTTTTTGTCTTTGTTTCTATTTTTTTTGCGTAAGAAACTTATTGAAATACCCTGTGCTGAGAATTCTATATTATACCAAAATATAATATTGAATAAAGCCATTAATAATAATAATAATAATAAGACATAAATATTGTTATGAATGGGTACTAAAATAAATATGCGTCATACAAATAAAGAAATTAGCCTGCGAACAGATCTAAAAAAAGGGAATGAGTTTAATTTAAAAAAAATAAATGAATAAAAGTGAACGAAAGTACTAATAGTAGGAAAAAACAGTTCAGTTAGGAAAAATAACCAGAGAAAGATTCTTCTTTTGAAGGAATTCATATCACTGTTATGAACAATGTAAGAACTACAGCAATACCGTCATTAGTTTCTGTTCTAACCCATGTCTGATGAACTCGTAAGCCACTGAGTCATACCATCTCTCGTTCATCACCAGGAAGTATTAATGGACGGACAGATGCCAGTCTTATAAATATTTCTTTCATACTACGGCACTATGTAACAAACTGACCACCTCTGATTTTCGCGTTTGATCCCATCATTGGCAAATAATATCTAAGCTACTGAAGTTGTTGTTTCGAAAGGTAACAACATTTGTGTGGTCGTCGCCATACCTGAACATACGGTTGTTTTAACGGCTTCCGAGAACTACGACGGAGCCTCCAGACATCCTAGAGGAGCCGCAGAGTTCCATCCAATCAGAATGCAATACAGCTTTCTAGAGTATCAACGTGGCATGCTACTATTGGTCAGCAACAGATTGGTTGAATTATAGTGTTGATGTAACAAACGCTAATATCTATAAATACCCATGATTTCCTGTAGATTTTGATTCTTGCCCAACAAGCACTTTCTCCAATCTTCTGTCTTATTTGTGACTTAGAGGGTTCTAGCGTTTGAGTGCTCAAGTTTATATGTTGCATATTAAGAATCTAAGCTCTCGATATAACAACGATGCTGAACCTCGGCATCAAAAATGTGCTGTTGTTCCTAAATGTCAACAATCCTTCGGACAATTGTCAGTAGTAATAAGTTTTATGAAGCCTTTCTCTCCATTCCTTCGTGTAGTATGTAATTTTCAAAAAAGTTGTTTTGTATTTTATTTGTGCTTAATTGAGTTAAAATATATTCCCTTTTGAAAAATATCTTATATACTTTGTGAAATATATTCCACTACTTGACTAGAATGTAACGAACCTTTTATTTACATGTTTTTTGTGGTACTATTTTCGCTTTAAAATATCAATAATGAATCTTTTTTAATCTTCTAAGCATGTCCATGTTTTTTTTCTATTCAAGTGTCAGTAGTATGGTAGCTTATGCAATCACTAAACCCTCATCAACTAATTAATTTTGTGAATGGTATCTATTTTTTTCTGAAATATTTCCCAGTTTTGTAATCTTGACAGGATTAATAAATTTTGATAAAATAAACACATGTGTGTATATGTATAGCCTTTATACAGATTTCTACAATTCCTTTTTAAGAATTCTCTAAGACCACTATTTTTTTCCATAGATTAGAAATTTTAGGAACCAGATAGAACCGTTTAGTGTAGACTTAAATTTAATGATTCTATATAATAAGCGTATTACTAAACTTATTCATGAATATTCGTTACGATGGAATATTATCAATACTTGTCACCTTAGAGTCGGTCAATTAAGAGATCTTCAAATTAATTGATAGTGAATTGACATCAATGGTTAGCATGACTATAAAATATTCTTCAGTATGGTTTCTTAATATCAAAATTTATTACCACTTCATATACCTTCTCTTGTCTATTTGTGTTATCGAATATGATGAATTTCTTCATTTTCTTGTGTCTTAATTGTTTTGTTTTTCTGTATTCTGTAGAAATAAAGTTGAACAAAGTGAACATTCATCTCATCGTCTTGTGATGGATAACACATCGCATTTATTATCGGAACCAGTGATGATGGAGCATTCAAGAGAAGGAAAACCAATTTTTCCTGATGATCATATGATAGGTTCGAATGAAGTAAATAGTGGAACGCCACCGTCTTTTAATTCTAATAGAATAAAATCCAAAGGTTTTGAGAAATTACGATCACCTCCATTGTCGTTGCCAACTTCTCCTTCGTATTCTCCCTCTTTCTCTTCGTATCCCTCTTCATCTCAACATCATTTTGAAAACAATGAAACATCATTGTTTTAATTGGGTATTTCTTCATGAATCGATTATTGATTAATCTCCGAATTGTGCCTGGGATCAGTTACCACTACACATATTCATTTTCATGTGTACACCATTGTTGTTAATTGGTGATAGTCAGTTTAAACCAAAATAAATGATATTTATTTATTTATTTCATGCACATATAAAACAAGAGATCATATAACATTGTTTTATTCTCTTTCTTGCTCACTTGTTCATCTGTTTTTGACTCTTTTACAAAACTCAAATCATCGAGACCACATATTCATCAATTAATACATGTGCATTGACAAATTGTGTAATGTGTTTTAATCTATTTTTAGTGTACATCTTTGTCTGTCTATCCGTATGTCTTTGTCTGTATGCCTTTATGTAATTATGTATGTGTATTACCCAGATATTATCGTTATTAAGACTACTATGACAACTATTATTACTTCTTATTTGATAGAATATTACAACTTATCTCTGATCTTTCCTTCCTTTACTCTCGTATGTCGTTTTTTCCTTTTTTTCTATTTTTATGTGGATTAATATATGAAATAAAACAGAAGAAACAATTAATATTTGATAATTTCTCTAGGTTGTTCATTTTGATGTTCTCTATGATAATGGTGATAAAGTTCTTTGCATTTGTTATTTTTACTGTTTGTTTGTTTTCATTTAGTTCATTTGGAAGCGTAAATATTGCAGCTATGAATTCGATGACGTTTGATCCATTCCCATATTTCAATCAATACAATTAGTTAGTACTATTAGCCATCATAATAAGAGTAGAATGTATGGTGTTATTGTTTGTAGTCATACTTGAAATGAGTAGTTATACGCTGGATGGTGATTAATATTAGATGCTTAATTAACTATTCTACTTTGCTGGTCATTAATAAGTAAAATGATGTGGTTAGAAATATCGTATTTATACGTACATAGTATATATATATATATATATATATATATATATATATATATATATATATATCATCAGTAATTCACTGGAGTTGGACTATAGTTTACTAGCTTTTAAGTTAGTTTCAATCAAAATTATTTTTTTTGGTATTATACTATCATGTCCCATTGATTTAAGATTTTTTTGCTGAATCCCTCTATGACAAAATGGATGACATGGTTTGGATAGTTTAAAGTATTCTACCGTTTTTTCCTTGCTTTTTTAAAAATTATTATTCGTTTTTCTTTTATACAATTTACATCAATACTAGCTGTTGTTGTTATTGGTAGTTTATTACATAACAACCTAGTGAATAAATCATAATCATCATGTTTGTTTGTTCTGTTATCATGTGAACAACCAATTTGGTTTCTGCTGCTTACAACTGGCATACTATACATCTTTTATTTGGATTTGTCTTGAGAAGTATTGGAGATATAACATAGGAATTTCGTCTGTACATGTTTCAATGAACAAGATTGAATATAGAAAAAATAAATATTGTCCGCTTAGGTTTCTGCACGCGTATTCACTATTTGTTGACCAGTGAGGAACACTTTACTATCCGAATGAGATTTAGTCTAAGCTTGCTAACCTGCTTGTTTTTTCCGAAAGCTGTGATTTCAACCCAACGATTGTCGTCTTTAGCTAGGCCCGCTTAGAAAGCCAAGTTCGTCAAATCGACGTATTTATCTCTGAAAAAACCCCTTCATATACTTGTGTTTTAATGTTTATCTCTCTTTGGAGGTAATTCCCGTCATACTTATGAATCATGTGTCAAACTTCTCTTTTTTTCTTTAATTCATTTTGGTACTTTCAATCTGTTAAAGTTTGCTTGTTTCTTCTGCGTTTATAATTCTGAACTCGCTTTCAGTCTACTGGGTTAGCCGCTTTTTATGGCACAAGAAATCAGTTATCTCTCTCTGTGAACCTTAAAGACCTGAAATATTATCCTCCAAGTTACTTACTAGTTTCTCATTAATTATGTTGTGGTGTGAAACTCAAACATTGATTTTGGTCGCGGACTGTGACATTTTTGTAGAATTGTTTTCGTTTGTAAACTTTATTTTGTACTCCCGAAATTTTCGTCAGTTGTTAAGAGATTTCAATATTTTTGGAAAAATTATCCACAAAATGTAAATTCGATATATGGTGTGCTATAGCTCATAGCATAATTAATGCGTTCAAACGCATACAAGCACAAAAACAGGTGATGTGTTCAGTTATAAGTTGTTTCTTAGTCTCCAAGATGAGTAATTCTATGTAGTAAATGTAAAAATCGAACTCAAGCCAATATTAATTATCGGTGTAAGTAAAATAAGCTTTATGATCTTAGATAGAATTGACTTTTCAGAAGTTGATCTACCAGGAGATTCAATTGTTGACTTAAGATACGCAGATGATACGTTTCTGTTTGGAGAAGACGCTGACAAAATCCAGTCTTCTGACCACCTTAAAGAAATATCCAAGCATGTTTGGGATACGGTTTTCTCTCTCCAAATGCAAAATGTTTCTTTAAGATTGGCTTATGCCAATCTGAACTAGTGATAGTGAATTAGTTGAATGTATAGGCCACTTCACTTACCTCGAGTCTCACCAGTCTTGTTGGTCTGGTGTGATGAAATCTAGACATATGCAGAAGACTTGGTTGGCTTTTACAAACTTGCGTCACTTGTGGCGTAGGCGAGATGTCCGTCTACCAACCAAAGGACTATTTTACTGCGGCAGTAGTTCAATCCGTTCTACTGTATGGATTTGAAAGATGACCGTTAGGAACAGAGGATATTCGTGGGATACTGGTATTCGGTCATAGGTGTCCTCGAACTACTGCTTGTGCATTTTGGGACTACAGAGTAACCAGTGACTGAGTTAGGAATAGAGTACTAGGTAAGAATGGTAAGTCGATTGATGAAGTAGTAAATCTTCATCAACTGAGGTGTTCGGGACATTTGATACGTATGCCCAACCATCGCCTATTTCAGTGGGCTATGTTTTCTAGTGTAGGAGTAGGCTGCAAGAGAGCTAGGAGCGACTGAGCCAAAACATGCCATCAGTCCAGGAGGTCACTGGCAATCGGACTGAGCCATGTTAATAGGTGTAGGCTACTTGGCTGGAGTCCACGTGATTTTCGTTAACAGTGGTTAGACATTACATGGCATGACTGAGATTCGTTTGCATTAGCGCAAGGCATCCATTCTTTGTCTTCTCCCACATTCTAGATTACTCATAACTATTTTTGAATTTATTTCGCTAACTTATATTTTCTTCTTGAGTCGTACCTAAGCTTTCATATTACTTATTCATTCAAATTAACAAACGTTTTTGGTTCAAAATGTATTTCCAAAGACTCATAGTGCAATATTGTTTTCATCAGTTTAAATATCTCAACAATGATATTATATAATCATCATTTACGCTTTCAGAACTTTCCCACTTAGGAGACTTACTGATTGTTTTTAAATGAGATTGAACTAGAGCTTTTTAATGAATAGTTGTTATTCAAATGATTAGTAATTTTTATTTCATTTCACCACTATCCCTTAGTCAGTCATCATCAATAATTTACTACCGCATTTTTAACTTAGTCTACTTAACTGATCACAGTTTTCTATTTAAATTCTAGGAAATTCGTTATCAAGTCACTTGGTGATCAATGTGAGTACATAACTATTAATTATTTACGTGGTTTTTTTAGAAATTACTTTCTAGGCATTATTTAAGGGTAATTTTCATCACACTGATATCAGCTAAAATACTTCTCACTATTCTGTTTCAAAAGACCTTTATTTTACCACCCTCTACCTCGCTCAATGTTTGCTGGTGTAAGATTAGGTTGGAAAAAGCTTGGAGCGCCCAAACTAAGATGTGGGATCAGTCTATGAAGTCATCGATTGTTAAACTAAGCTATTACTATTTATTTATTATTATTATTAATGCCTTTATCCAATATATCTAGTACAATATAGAATTCTCAACATAATGTATTTCAACGTTTCTTTTACAAAACGAAAGACGATAACTGAATGAAATAGTTTTCAAGAGGATTTGAATCTGTATAGCTTTTTAATTATAAACCTGTTTAAGAATACGAGTTATTGACTAGGTCAGCTCTGACAACCTGTCCATCACATAGTATATTTACCAAATAAGTTGCTATAAAGCTTTTATACCTTTGCTTGCGTGCATGTATTCTAATGCCTTGACGTCTCGTCTACCAGAAAAAATATACAAGCGGAAAGATATAAATGAAGTGGATGGTCAGTATCTGATAGATAACACCTGCTAGGAGTTTTCAAGATTTCAAATGCCTGTTAGAAACTGTTAGAAAATTCAGTCTACCTGGTTGGTGTCAATATTTTGGGCAACCAATGGCTGAAGACTAGGTAACATAGCTCAGAATCGTTCTCACTCGTTCTCTATCGTACCTCAGATTCTGAGTCCCAAAGTGTTCGCATATATACATATATACATTGAATTTTATTTACAACAAGAATCAATAACATGTCTGTAGTAAAAAAGTATCTCACATTCTAAACGAAAAAGAAATGTACATGATTTAAGCTCTGTAGATATCCAGAATGATAATGAAAGCTCCGCAATCAAACAACCTAGCTAAGAGACACGACACCAATGTAAATAGAAGAGAAACATGTTCGTATCATTACCTTTAAACAGTGAAGGAGTTTGTGACGTCCTATAATCCATTATGTAAGATGATTGAAGCAATTTAATAATGTGTGGTTCAATAAACATTTTCATCTTGTATCGAAGGGATTTCTAATTGTACATCATGAATTATGGCAGTAAATAATCAATTTCACTGATTGGTTATTCAAAGATCAACCCCTATTGACATACATTATACCTCAAAATTAATCTATACTCAAAGACAGATATAAGCTATTAGGATATCTTCATGCTGCTATTTTCTGTTTATTATATTTATATTTCTTTGCATTAAAATTGGTAGATTTATGCAATATTATGGTATAAAGCAATTAGTCCCTTTTATAAATTTCAATAGAGCAGTGAGAAGACGGAGTTGATCTGAAAAAAATCGAAATATTATAATAATTAGTTATGATAAGTCAACTATCATTCCTACAATGATATTCACAGGACTTGTTCATTAGCAATTATTATTGTTGTTTTCTTATAGTTTTAATTGACAGATTGTCTGACCTTAAATTCATTTGGTTAATGTTATAATTTGTTGGACAATTTCTATGCTCCATATTCGATTAGTGTACTGTACTTATTTTAAAAAAAGTTGTATTCCTTCAAGTGATAATTTTCCACTGACAGATTGTATTCTATAACCATTCGTAATTCTATCACCGTTATTGTAACAATGTTATAGGTATACTTCTGACGTATTCTATAAATAATTATTCATGGTTATGTTATTGCTCTGATCATATTGATTGTTTACAATGTTTGCAAATGATGATGTTATTGTGGATAAATATATTGACGATTAGTTAGTGTGTTAATGAATTCAGTGTTATGCACTGATGGATGTTTATGTCAGAGAGATAATAATGATTGATTTGTTATTTGTTATGAATATAATGGATTATCTGAAAACAGAATTTAAACAAAATATAAGCAATGATAAGAAAGAGTAATAGAATTTAACGAACGTAACTGAAGTTCTTAAAAATAAATAACTATCCGTAAAAATTTGTAAGAAAAAT